GGATTTTGATGATTAAACTAATTGATTGTGTTTAGATGTTTAACTGTATTTTGAGTGATGTAGGTCTACTCGATCAGGATTAGACAGTTGACGCAGGAGGAATTGATGTTGCGCCGGAGGAGATCATGTCAGGATATTGGACGGCAAAAGGCTTCGGACGTCGGGTATCGGGCCAAGGAGAGCGGAATTGCGCCAAGGATATTGGGGTTGCAGAGGTCAACCGCCGATTGGGCAACAAACCATAAGAGAGGACGATGCGCTGAAGAATCGGACGAAGCGCCAACTAATGACGTGTCGGGCAACAGAATGTCAATTCGCGTTGTAATAATTATCTAGATCGGAGTAGAGTTTTGGCTTGTATGTGCAGGATTAACTATGATAACGACGAAGACATAAGGCAAAACAAAGTGTCGGAGTCAAGCACGAAAGATTCGTTGCAAGTTCGAGAGTTCGACGGAAGTCCGAAGGTTTGTCGGGAATGTTGCCGGAACTAGCCGAGAATGAGTAAGGAGCTTGCAGAAGGGTTTTTCGGAAGCTCACCGGAAGGTTCGTTGGAAGTTCACGGAGCTCACCGAGAAAGGTCGGAGCTTGCCGAAGAAGCTCGTTGGAACTCGCCAAGATCAAATCGTGAAGTCTAGGAGCTTACCAGGAGTCTGCAGAATGTTTTCCGAGAGTTTATCGGAAGACCGTCGAAATTTCACCGGAAGCTTGCCGGAAGAAGTCTTGACTTATGAACTTTGTAATAGCTTAGGAAATGTCTTTAAATTCATAGTTAGCACGTTAATTAGGGTTAGGATTAGGTGTTAATCCTATAACCCAAGTATGGGCCAATTGGGCCCGAGTTCGGGCTGGTTTGGGCCAAGTTTAGAGCCCAACCAGTGAGCTAAAATAGTGTAGGCGATGGCACCGCCCAGAACCCGAGAACTGAGCGGTGGCACCGCCGGACTGGGCGGTGGCACCGCCAGTACACTGTCAGTGTCAGACACTGACAGGCGGTGGCACCGCCAGCCTCGGAAACCCAAGAGAATTCAAAATTTGGAGCCCAAATTTGAATCCTCTTGGGGCCTATAAATACCCCTCAATTCTCAGCTGAGATTACAACTTTTGTGAAAGCAATAGATTGAGATAAAGGTCTTAGAAAAGTCTTTAACAAGTCTTGTCTTAAATTGCTTGAGTGTTCACCTTCGTCTTCCTCTTTAAAAATTGTAAGAGTATGAACCACTTGTAAAAGGTTGTTAAAGGGGTATTTGTCCTTCCCCTTAAAAGAGATTTGCTAATGGAAGTTGGGAGTCTCATTGAAGAAGACTTCGCAAGTGGATGTAGGTCATTTGACCGAACCACTTTAAATTGTCGTGTTCATTGAATGTGTGAGTACTTACTTTTCTGCAATCGTTATCTACACAACAGCAAGTTTCTGGTTTTTACTTTACTCAAGTTATAATCAAAGCAAAATCTCCTTACATGTTACGGAATCATTTTCGAACTTACATGTTTTAATCCGCTACACTAATTCACCCCCCCCCCCTTTTTAGTGCCACTCCAATCCTAACATCTTGAAGACTGAATCTGGGTGGTACCACTGTCTAGAATAGCGATACCACTGCCTGACATAGTCTCGGAGACTGTGCCATCGATGGTTCCATCTGTTAGACCACAGATTATTAATAAAATAACTATTTTATTTTTCAATATAACCCTTGAAATTTTTTTTTAAAAAAAAGGATTCAGCTTTTTTTTTTCTAAAAGTACACCCATACCATTATTCTATAATTATCTATAAATAATAAAAAAATATTTACCTCTAAGCATAAGCCCACAAATATCTACATGCATTAATTTTAATCATTCTTTTGACTCTCCAATAATAATCTGTTTGAAAAAAATTTTCTATGCTATTTTTCAAATACACAAGAATCATAAATAATATTTTTATTCTAAATTTTAGGTAAATCAACTATCAAATTATTCTGATTTAACCGTTCTCATCCATATAATTCAGATGATCATATTTTTTGTGTCATAGTATTGATTCATCAATAACAATAGTAGTAACTATATGTAAGGAAAAAATCGAAGAACAATAAAGGAAATAATTTTTTTTGTCATTCTCATAATTACTATCAATTTTGTAGTTTTCTTATCGAAAATCTGATATTTTTCATCATAAAAATAGCATAATAATCTTTTCTCAATAGTTGCCCTATATTAATAAGGTTTTTCTTGAATTCAAAAACAAATATCATATCATTAATAAACTTTTTACCGAATTTGGTGTTAATGACAAGTGTTCCTTTTTCTTCTATCTGAATTTATCTATCATTTCCCATATGCACTACAGACCTGATCAATCCATAAGTGAAACAAACTTGTATCACCTATTATATGGTTATTATATCTACTATCCAAACACCAAGTTCATATAGAACTAGAATATTCATCATTAGATGTCATAAAAAAAGTATTTTTTTATCTTTTTTCTCACTATTATTTTTTATGATAATTTGATTATTTTTTATTCTAATAATCTTTTTCAAGATGATAATATTTTTTGCAATGAGAGAAAAGAAGAGCATTTGGATTTTTGTTATTGTATCATCAATCTTTTTCGATATATCTAATTTTTTTACAATAAAAGCATTGATATTTTATTATCTTCATTAAAGTTCATCTTATTCTCATTTGATCAACCTCATCCCTTGCCTCAAGTGTCACTTGTTTGTACCTCTAAATATACCTTTTAATATTTTTAGATTTTTGTTGATATTGATGTTGTGAGGAAATATGGACTCATCTATTGCTTATTGTAGTATGTAAAGGGCTTTTGCATCTTATTGCATATTCTCATTCATTTGATCTTTTTTATTTTCAATGATATTGAGATCCTACAAATCATACTCAGCAAAGTTATTTTCTAACAAATTTTACTATCCGAAATAAACAAGGTTCTTATTTTAATATCTCAAAACTGATAATTTTCACCTTGAGAAAAGTTGATTGAAAATACTTAACAATAATATCTGTCATCTTTTTTTCTTGACTTTGTAGATCTACTGGTCCCTTTTTCTTTTTAAATTGACAGATTTTTGTTGTTCTTACTTTAAACTGGACTTGAATATGGTACTTGTTAACTTTATATAGAATTTTAGAAAGAAAAGGAGAAGACATAGGAAGAACTAGTAGTTCAAATATGTCGTACCTTGGATAAGTCTAAAAGCACATATTTATAATAACCAAAAAATAAAATATAAATTTTTAAATAAAAAAATCACCTACTTAGCCTAACAACCCAACTCATCCACTCAATAGCCTAACAAACTTCCTCATCCTCATCCATGCACCAACACTACTCATCCATTTATATTAATCTAAATTCTTATATTTTGTTGCATATAATTCTAATTATTTCAATTAATTTTATTAATATATCCTCTTCCTCTACTTTTTCTTCTCCTCCTCCTTCCCCTCCACCACCTCCTTCTTCTCTATAAATACTTCTAAAATTAAAACATAATGCATTTATATCCTTCAAAAATAAAACAAATATGTTATAATCATATGGGGCATGGATATACAAATTTAAAGTGTTCTATGTAAAGTTCACTGAAAAATCTTCTATTAGAATGGTTTTGTAAACAAATTAGAAGATATATCTAAAAAGGATTTTAATAGGATTTTAGAATAACTAATCATTAAGTTTGATATATTTAGATAAATTATATAAATAAGTGTAATTTTAGTTCATTATCGAATATAACAGGTTAACATTGACCAAACCATCTCAAACTCTTACAAACCTAATAAAACATGTCTATAACAAGTATTGTATTTTTTTTCTATTTTATAATAAATCTATGACCTTATTCTATCAAAATTTATATATTTTTAGATATATTCTATAAGCGAGTATATCTTAATTTATTTTTTAGTATAATAGGATTAACTTCAATAAAACCATTTGAAATTCTCATAATTGTACTATTGTTTCCTTCCAATAAAAAATACATATTTTTTCTATTTTTATAAATTTAAGATAATTAATTATCTAATTTAACATGTTTTTATGATGTTGTATGAATGAATATATTTTAATTTGTTTTTTAGTATAACAGGTTACATTCCACCCAACATAATTAAATTTGAACAATTTTACTGGAATAGATTCTAACAAAGATTTTAATAAATTTTTAAATATTTAATTATTAATTTTAATATATTTTATGATGAATATAATTTAATTTATTTTTAACTGTAACGAAATCAACTTTAACCAAGTGAAGTAAATTTTTTTAAACTCTACTAGAACATAATTATAACAAGAATTCAGCTTATTATTATTTTATTATGCATTTAAAATCTTATATATCAAAATTGACATATTTTATTATAAATTATCATATAAAATGTAAGGTTGATGTAAGAGGCTAAACAAGAGGAGAAAAAAGAAAAGGTGAGAAGAGAGTAGGGAAAAGGAAGAGAGTGAGGAAGTAAATAAAAAGCAAGGAGATAAATGAGGAGAGAGAATGGAGGGCATATGACATTCCAAAAAAGAGAAAAAGACTCAATCGGTTTGGGCTAATGAGATTTAAAGGTTCTATGAGTAAAATTTTGATGTTTATGAAAAACACCCTATATCAAAACAATTATAAGGTAAAAAAAAATGAAACACTCTATTAGATAAACTACACTTAATTCAAAACCTACTACAAATTGCCATACCGGCCACACCTCAATGGCAGCATCGTCTTCAGTAATTTGGTCAATTAAGGTGTTCCGAATGCAAAGTTCCCAGCGGAAATCTTTTCACTTACGCTCTATCTAAATAAAATGGATAAGTAATCACAACAAAATATCAGACAACATCGAGACAGCTGACAAGAATTAGACCATAAACAATGAAACTGGATCTTATGATATAGAAGGCTATTGAAAGGAGAACTGACAGAATATGAATTGATTGGAAGAAACGCCAGACAGCCTAAAACATTGCAAAGCAGAAGATCAATAGATGGATGTCTCATTCAAAATTGCAATTACTAAAATATTGTCTTCCAAGCAAGCATGTTAAAAATTGCATAAGCTTTATCTTCAACAATAATGTTCGAAGAGAAGAATCGCAAACAAAGAGTAGCTGATAAACAAGACTTTATGATGATCCAATAGTAAAGACATTGTCTCTATCCTTTTAAACTTCAGTAGATGCAGCCTTCTTCCTTGAAGTTGCTTGGGTCCCTGGAAAAACAGATCCAATTATACTAACTGTTTACAAGTGTGGTAGAATTAAAAATCAGGAAGACCAGTTTGGCAGTTATCTTGTCAATCTAGTCTATCATATTACATCCAAACGAACATACTACAATTCCATCTTCAATAGTAGACTTATTCTGTCACTTCAGTTGCAATGACAGCTATAATTAACAACATTGATTTTCCAACTACTTCAGGCTGGCTATGATTACAAAATGTAATGATAATGTTTACTTTCAAGTCCCCACTTATTTTTATGTTCTTTTCATTTCATTTCCAGGGGTACACCAGATTCGCACAGAATGTAAAACTGGCACCTGCCTTTCCAGCACGGCCAGGAAGCAATTAGGCCAAAACTTAAACACCGATTGATACTAATCAACCAACCAATCAAGTAGAATGAAAATCAATAAATAAAATACCTTCTCTGAAGTTACTCTTGAACCTACGAGGCACATGACGAAGATATCTCATCCTTCCTGTACCTGTTGTCTTTCTCCTAATTGCTTTCACACTCCAGTTATCTATTGCAAAAAGGCATTTTCAGCATAAAAAAGATGAATTATAAGAACAGACAACTGATACCAAAAGACTCAGCAAAATGAGATCAAACATAAGAAGGTAACTATCATTTGATATGGAGGATCCATGTCCATGCATTCAGCAAACAAAGTCCACAAGAAAGAAGGTGAACAGATATAGACAGCGTTTGGGAATACATTTGCAATTTTAATGTATAGTTGGAGAAAGAGGTTTGAATGAACATGCAGTTGTGGAATGCTTTGAGTATTTGATAAATAATAGAATAAAACTATATTTTAAATGTGTATTGACATAAGTATTGTTTGGTATAATTGTATTTAAAACATCCATTAAATATTTTGTGATAAATTTACCCTTCTAATATTTTTAATCTTTATTCCAAAAATGAATACATATTTTCATTTAAATAAATAAATAAATAAAATAAAAGTATGTAATCTTATAAAAAAGATATATGGCCCAAATATATAATAAATAAAAAATATAATTAAATATACAATAATCTTTAAAAGTAAATAAATAAAATTTCACCTTATAAAAAATATAAATCATGTTGGTTTATTACTCAATCATTTTGATAATCTTAAAATTTTAGATAAAGTCATAAGGATATTTTTTTTAAATTTAAAAAACTAAATTAGCATCTCGCAAATGCTGAAATGCTACCTTGAGATAGCATCAGCATTTTAACATTTCCGAAGCAACATCCAATCAGATGCGATTTGAAAAATATATAATAAATAAAAATATATAATCATATAAATAAAAATAAAATAATCTTTAAAAATAAATAAATAAAATTACACTTTTTAGAAAATATAAATCATGTTGGTTTATCACTAAGTCATTTTGATAATCATGAAATTTTAGATAAAGTTATAAGGATACTTTGGGAATTTAAAAAATTAAACTAGCATCTCACAAATGCTGAAATGCTAATGCTACCTTGAGGTAGCATCAGCATTTAAGCATTTCCAATGTAATATCCAAACTAGATGTGATTTAAAAAAAATTATCAAACATCAATTCACATTTGAAATGTATATTGGGTCCTCAATGCACATTTTAAATATCTTCCCAACTGCACCCATAGTACCTATTACACATAGAACCCATCAACTGATGATAAATAACAGCGACAAAATATTATAGAGTTAGGCACATACTGAGCCAAGACTTCAAATATTTTCCCTTACCCATCAAAAACAAGCATAGAGCACTTGAACCCAACACCAAACTTACAAAAATCTATTTAACTAAAGCAATACATAACTAAGAACAATTTAGAAGCCACCAATAACAAACCCAGTTTAAACATCATACTCTCATTTACAAAGTAATCATGAAAAAGAAGACCAAACTGCTCACTATCGTACCTTAACATTCCATCTTCACAAAGATGGAATGTTAAGGTAGGATACTATTCTTAAGAAAAGGCTCTTTTAACATATAGAGGAAACTATTCTTAAGCCAAGAAACTGGCTTAAAATTTAAGAAAGCATCAATCCCAAAAATAAAAGATCTCAAGGTGCAAATAGTAGCACAAGTTTCGTGTTCTTTCTATCAGACATCATCATTCATCATGCAAAGAAAGAAATTTAAAAAGTACTAAATGATCTAAAAACTAAAAAAACTACGAACACAGTAAAAATCCTGATATATTAAAGACTCTCCACCAATCAAATTCGACACATGATCTTATTCAGCAAGTCCGACCAAAATAACCCAACGGCATTTGCCACATCGGTGTCAAACCCTAATTGAAAATATCCTCCAAATCAAATCTGCTGGAGAATATTCTCTCGGGGGCGAACCCTCTATCTCCCACATTTAATACTAAGCTTCCACACCTTAGCATTCAGGGACCTCACCAGGTATAGTCCGGCACTAGATTTGCAGGAACCTTAAACCAACTTAGGAAACTTTGCTTCAAGAGACATAAGGTCGAGGATTTTACGGCGACTACTCTGGTCGGATTGAGTGAGCTACAAGACGTAGGACCGATGGCCGTCATTGACATAACAAATCCAAACTTGAGGGACAACAGATGAACAGTGTAAATAGAACACGAGCACCGAGTGCTAAAAATGCCCTTCAGCCGACAGTTGGCCAAACCCTTCGTATTCCAAGCTCGTCGCATACGTGTGTATATGTATAAATATAAAAATATATATATATATATATATATATATAAAGCAATAATCTAAATGGAAAAATGTAAAAGATGACACGGAGGTCACTTCTTACACTTGCGGATCCGAGCGGCAGGGTAGCCGCAGGAGCCGCACCGGCTCTTCTGGAGGTGGAAACTCCTCCGCCCACACCTCAGGCACAGAGTGTGGGTCTTGTTCCTCCGCTTCCCGAAGCTCCCCGTTCCCTTACCCTGCCGCCAAGAGAAGACACACAGTCAATCAGAGTCAAGGATCGATGCGAGTGTCTTCCAAGAGAAATCAGAGGAAGCGAAACGGAACCAGGGTGGGGTACTCGACAGGGATTCAAGAGGGCTACTCACCATCGCGCGTCCGTGTTCTCCTCGATCGGCCCTTCTTCAGGGTTGGCGGCGATCGAGAACAAGAGAGGGAAAAGAGGGAAGGGCGAACTGAAAACCCTTGAAAGTCGGTTCGGCTCTTTCTTTTATACGCGGCGTGGAGCAATCCGAGCCCTCAAGCTGACGGACGCGATTCGGACTCGGCGAGGAAACACATCCTAGCCGTTGAAGCTTACGTCGATGCATAAAAATGGAGGCGGGCTTCTAAACAAAAATGAAATAAAGGAGAAAAATTAGAAAAGGTAAAAATCTCGTTTATGTCTTGCGAAGTAATGTTGATGGAGATCCAATTTTTTAGGATTTTTCCCGATCGTGTTTGATTCCGTTATCGCAGATACGAAAAAGACAAACTCATGATTTAATTGCACTGTCCAATTCTCGATTCAAACTGAGGTAGGATAAAAAAAAGAAAAGGCGTACATAAGATCGATCCAAATCTCGATCCGATCCGTCATATCAGCGAACAAAATTATCGGCATTTACCTGACAGGATTGTGAATAGGCTGAGTCAAGTCAGATCAGTGATTAAATAATTTTTATCGGGTCCAATGAGGTAAGTGTGAACGTTACTATCAACTAGCTAAAATTAGCTTTTTCATAAAGATTGATACTAAATTGATCATCATCCGTTTCGTTATTTGAAATCTATCACACTTTGAGAATTGGAGTTTGCAAAATAATTTTTGAGATGCATATGTTCTCGAGCTAATTTTTCGAAATTGATTTCTGATAACTTGAGATCACCGATAAGACTATTGTCGAAAACGTACTTATGTCGAAGGTAACAATTTTATAAAAATTTCCCGAATTCAAAAACATGGTAAATTAGTTTTTCATAATTAAGTCAGTTGGACACTAAATTGATCATCAATTTGATCCAATCAGCTTGCATGAAATCTGTCATGCTCTTGGAATTGAGTTTCTAAAATGAATTTCGAAATCTATCATGCTTTTTATGATTCAAGCATCACTTATAATACATGTTCCGTGTGATGCTCATGTCAGAGATAAAAAAAAAAAAACTTTGCAAAGTGTTTCAAATTCAAAATCACATATAAGAACTGATTAACTAAGAGAATATTTTCTGTATCGAGAATATGATCAGTAAAATTGATTGGTCAAATATCTCAAGTCCTCATTGATCGAAAATAAATATTGATCCCAAAATGAGTATCAAAATCTCATCTATTGGAATTATTATTTTTTACACCGTCATTCTTTTCCCTTTTTTATTCAGTTTTGGTACAATGGAGAACATCTCTGTCAGTCATACTACTCCTAAATTAGATCACGAAATATCCGGTGCTTGGCATATCGCCCATGCTCCCATCCACCATCCTAAACTTTTCACCATGCATGCATGGCCCTCGGCCCCTCGCACTACATGGTAAACCACAAAGAAGCCGATGAAGGCCAAGTAATTACTTAATTCCCCCAGGGATCTCGTGTCTTTTCGGAGCAACAGGAATATGTCTGGAATTCAATTCCTAAGGAGAGGCCTGACAATATGCTTGGGTGGCTGCTGGTTAATGATGGTGAGCTTGGCATGGCCTAATTGGTGAAGGAACCCAGCATTTACAAGGGAACAACCATGTCCCAGAGCTCAGCAGCAAACCATGCAAGTGGAGGTGCTGCAAGCACATGCCCATGGATGTTTGTGTTGTGAGAAGGAAGGGCATGAGATTCCAGTGGAGTACTAAAGGGGTGGCAGCAACCACTGAAGAAGATATCTGTGTTGATCCTCTCATTTGCTTTCTCTTCTCTTTTCTTCTCTCATCTGCTTTGGAGGGCCGGTCACCCCTCCTAGCCAACAGGGAATTAGTCTTAATGGGATATGGATTCTCAGGTCACTCACTGGCTGTGGCCTTAAAGAAAGCTTTGAGACAGTGGAATGGCCTTTCAACGGACTGATGGGAATTAGTTCCATATATACTGGTGTGAGAACAGCCTCAGCTGTGAGAGACTAAGAGCTGCACATATCTGCTGCTTTGGAGGACTATTTGGCTCTGAGACAAGCAAAAGCACACTAGATTTTATTCTGAACACTTGTGTTTCTTGTGGTGTTCTGCTCAAGCTTTGCTGCAGACAAACTCAAACAGCCTCATGGCTTTTCCAGCATCTGAAGTTGTAGTGCTTGGGTTTGTGCTTACTGTGGCCTTCTCACTTGGTGCTGAGTAACAACTTGAACAGCTCCGTCGTGTAAAGCTGCAATTCTTGTTTTGGATTACTGTATTATTTCCTGGCTACTTAATTCAATGCTGAGCTTTTCCACTGCAAAATATCTGATAAATCTTTGTTGTTTTCTTCAGCAACAAAACCACTTGTTTTCACCTCTGATACCAACATATGGATTGCAACCGATGTTATTCTGAATGCCAAGTCTAATATCATCGACTGCTATGACTGTTCCTCCACAAATCATTATGTCAGTAATACAATTAGAGCAAATTTGTTAAAAGAGATATGAATATTTACCATTTATCTAAGACTTTTCAGTTTTGACTTCATCTAATATAAAATTATAATTAAATCACGAGACTCTAGGATCTAAGAAGGGGGTCAAACATATGCCCTTTTTCTCTCTGGCAAGCGAAAAGATTGTTTCCTTTATCCAGATTTGAATTGAGATTAGCTATTATTAATGCAACAAGAAGACAAAAATCGACCATAATAGGTGCTCCCAATTAGTATTCAGTATCAAACATACCATAGAACTAGAAATATGGTTTGACTCGATTAAAATTGCATGTAAATCAATTAATATATAGGATTATATAATAATTATTCAGTTCATCATCTAGAAACTGTTCATTTGTCGTCAACTAAATAGGTCAAATTTGGTGTTTTTTTTGGGATGTTGACCTAAATTTTCATTGTTTTGGGTACCATTTGCTGAACCAAAAACAGGAAAAAAAAGCGGAGATTGACTGCGGGTCACAAGAATGCTGACGCGGCAAACGGAGATTTGCGCTCTCTTGGTCCTCCGTCAACCTCGGACCCTAATCTTTGACGCCGTCACCTCGGACAGGAGACGGACCGGTAGTTGTCCTCGCTCCCTGTAGCTTCTCTCTCCAGTATTCTTGTCATCTTTTCTCCTCGTCCCATTTTTAGCTTGTCATTATAATAAGCCAACAACCTTCCTGCTTTCTCTCACCCCTCTCTCTCTCTCTCTCTCTCTCTCTATATATATATATATATATATACATATACACAATGTCTAACTTCTCTAGCTAGGAAGAACAAGACGATGTTAGGTTCTGCGTAGGAGCTAAAAAGCTAGAAGAGAGAGGACCAATATATACTTCTTTCAGTGATTTAGGTTTCCTTCTTCACCATTTTATCGTTTCCTTTTGCTCTATAGATCAAGAGGTGGTGAAAGAGGCATGTTGCAGGACATGATCGAACCGTCTTCGGAGGAGTTCTTCATCGTAAGCCTTCTGATCTTCTCCTTCCAGTTTTTCTTGTCGTCAGAATGATCATCTTTTTATCTCTCTAAATTTTTCGTTGACTGTACTTTAGATGGTATTTCTCTTAGGAAGTTATGATGATTTCATAAAGGAAAACTGCATACATCATTAGAAAAGCTGCGTCTTTAATCTTAGCGTTTTCTTGTTGTTGCTGGAAGAAGCTCCTTCAACAATGATGGAGTTTCATCAAATCTCTTCAGATCTAACACTTCGCCTCCCACTGCTGCCTTACTCGTGATATTTTGCCTTCAAGAGCGACTTTTTTCACCAAAATGTCATTTTTCTTGTATTTCCAGACCTCTCAAATTATCTACCTGAGCGCTTCGTACATAGAACTCATGTCCAAGCATGACCTCCCTCTCTGCTTTGTATGTATCTGAATTTCAAAAACGTTATCTACAGGAGGATTATTGAAAGGCTTAAATTAGTTGTATGAGAGAGAGAGAGAGAGAGAGAGAGAGAGAGATACTGGTGGTCAAGCACATATACTTATCTGCCGGTCTCTTCTAAACTTTGCCGTCCTCACATGATGCCCATTAGAATCCAAGTTCCTTGCAGGACGCTAAAGCGCCCCGACCTATATCATTTGGACAAGACCTTAACTATTTTGATGTTGGAGAATCTTGCACTTTGGCTTCGTTGCATGTAGTAAGCCAAATGTGTTTTTTCTGACATTTTATCTTCGAAGTCCTTATTACACTCCAAATGCCTCAGATCAACTTTCTCGTCTTTACTGCAGCTTTGTATAACACACGTAGTATCGTGATATCGTAGCACGAAATTTCAAATACACAAACATATACGTATAAACCTTCCTATAGAAGTGATTACGTGCATACATGATACATTCACATGCATATGACCACGTGAAACGCAACGTTGGTGGCCGACGGCAGGCCTATCTTCTCTCTCTGAAGTGGCCACGGCGGGGGCCATGGAGGAGTAAGTGTCGATAGGCGGACTTGTCATCGTTATGTAGTGTGAAGAACACGTTATCATCTCGCCAGGACCGAACGTTCTCCTCTCTCTCTCCCCTTGGGCACCACCACATAGCCACCGGCAGTGGTCAACTGTCCGTTGACTTCTCCCTTGCCCAAACCAAAATGGACATCACACGCGACGAGAGAGAGAGAGAGAGACAGAGAGAGAGAGAGAGAGAGAGAGTTTCTATGATGCTATGAACACACTCAAATCCCACAACACGAAGTGTTCTTCGAAAGCAACAACTGTACAGAAAGCATGATGTAAGAAGCTTTTTGAGACGGTGGCCAGAAGCGTGGCCTCAAGCGAAGCTTCTTGGTGCCAAAAGTTCCTTAGCAATGTTATCAGAAATTAATAAAAAGTACTGTTTCGTAATGGCCAGTTTGAAAGTTAGGAGTATATATCGGATCTTTTTCGTTGTGGTATTTATGATAAGAAGAACTTCGTTGTTTTTTGTTTTATTAATTTATTTTTATTTGCGCATTCGCGTTTTGTGGCTGGTTATAAGTAGTTCGTTATTTGAACGCAGGAGGGCATCTCCAGCCCCATCGCTGCGCAGCTGTTCGACTTCTGCGACGATGACGGCGGCGGAGCCGCCGGCGAGCTTTTCGGCCGCTCTGATCACCATCAGAACCAATCCCTCCTCCCTACTTACGAGGACGTCTCCTCATCCTCGTCCTCATCCGCAGCCAGAACCGCCACCGCGGCCAATACGTCGCTCTGCTGCTACCCCGGCGACGCCGCCCCATTCTCCCCCTTTCCCTCCCTGTACGCCCTACTTGACGCACCTCCACCGCCCCCCGACCCCGAGCCCGACCTCGCCCAGTGTCGTTCCTCGTCCTCGTCATCTAACCCCCCCCCTCCTCCTCCTCCTCCTCCCCCGGCACTGTTCCCGGTCTCGCCCACGCCGCCGTACGTCGGGGACCCGTTCGACCACATCCTGCTGACGGAGGCCATCCCCGCTGGGTACTCGCTCGACCGCGGCACAGTGGTCTCGGTGCCGGCGGCCGGGGGGCCACCGAGCCGGCAGCAGCACCCGCAGACGGCGTACGAGGAGCAGCGCTACGCAGCGGCGGTGGCGATGCAGCAACCGCCGGAGCTGGCGGGGCTGGAGGCGCCACCGTGCGGGTTTCTCGAAGGCGTTGGCATGGGCGCGGCGCTGTATGGCGGTGGCAGAGGCGAGACGCAGGGTTTCTTCGGGATGGCGGCGGTGGGACCGGACGCGGGGCTTGCGGGCCTGAGCGACATGGCAGAGGGCGGAGGCCTGTGCTCGTTCGGGCAGGACGCTTTGCCTCGCTTGTACGGCTCCGGCGACTCGCAGGTATTTGCGAAACAAGATCATACACAACGCAGCGATCATGTCTAATAGTATCATCGTCAGATGTTGCTTCATGTTCATTTCGGATCTTGTTCAATCACTCTGAAGATACAAACTCTGTCTTCTTTCTCTCATAAAGGTAATTGGCGGAGGCAACCAGCATCTAATGGTTGGATGCAGTGGCAATGCGTTGCCGCTGCCGGCATCCGACATGCCACCCTTGGACGAATCCACCTACAAGGTCGGCCGCTTGTCAGTGGAAGAGAGGAAGGAGAAGATTCACAGGTACATGAAGAAGAGGAACGAAAGAAACTTCAGCAAGAAGATCAAGGTAAGTAGCAACTGTTTCATGCAACAGAAGTGATTACCTTCTTATTTTGATTTGTGATCACGATTCAAACTGACGAAAGGTGCTTGCAGTATGCCTGTAGAAAAACTTTAGCAGACAGCAGACCTCGAGTCCGGGGAAGGTTCGCAAAGAACGATGAACTCGGAGAGGTAGCACGACTGAGATCCAGCAACCATGAATTCGACGATGAGGAAGAAGTAAGATCCACATTTATCTTACCTTCTTTTTAAAATGCATCACACTTTTCAAGTCCTCCAACCTCAATAGATATTACCTTTTCCAGAGCACCACAGCCAAGACAGTTAAATCTCCTTTAGACGCAGGACAAGCTAGATACACCGCAAGATCATTAATACTTAGGATTAATGACCTTGCAAAGAGTATACAACTTAGGATTAAGTTAGCCCTCATCCAAAATTAGCCACTGCTGCAAGTAAACCAAAGGTGACAAGATCCAGAAAAAAGAAGCTCGGCATCTAAGATTTCGTCAAAGACAGCGTGTGTTTTCATATACATGGAGCACATTTCAGATTTTAAAGTGAGATGCATTATCATTTACATGATGCTCATCTCTCACCCTGATAAACAACTATTGCTGCTTTTAATTGCAGATGGTCATTAAAGAAGAAGATATCTTTGACTCCACTGACATCCTAGCACACATCAGTGGAGTAAACTCATTTAAGTACAATTACACACTAGAATCCTGGATATGACGCATGTGGCCTAGACGAAGAAAGTCTTAGTTGCAGACTTCTTTTTTGCCCCTTCGGCAGCAGCAGCAGATATTTACCATTATCCATTCAATAAACTCAGTTGTGTGGAGATTTTTGTAACCATTGAGGTTTCCCTCAGATTTTCTTTATATCCACGTTCAAGCTCCAAAGAAGTATATTACTGCATTCAGATGTAGTCATGGAGATAAAAGCAGATTGAGAAATCAGAGTAAAATCTGTATACTTCCAAAGTCTTCAGTGACTGAATGACACAAAAGTCCAGTTTTGTCTGACTCCATAAATGTGTAATCTCTTACTTCAGATTTCATGATACATACATAGTTGTAATCTGGCAGTTATACATACATTAGCCATCAGATCAAAACAGCCAATTTGCTAGTTAACCTAATTGTCTAAGCAGAATTAAAATTTCAGCAAGAAATTGTCTGCCACTGTAGCATGCAAAGAACCCCCAATACAAATCAAATCATAGAGTTCATGAAAAATCTTATTTGAGCTCGAAAATCAATTAGTTGGAAAGATGTTTTGACCTCAAAAACCGGCCAGACTTTTCGTGTCAACATCAAGTGTAAACTGCTGATATCAGATCTGTCATACAGTTCAAGGAAAGATAAGTAATCAGAAAAGGAAAAGCAGTCAATATAGGGTAAGAAAACCTTTTGTTCCACGAAACATAGCTCCTACAATCACTCTGCATCGATTGGGCAGTCTTTTTGGTTCAACAACAGAGAAAATTTGAGCAAATACACAAGAAACAAAAAAGCATTTTCTAGAAAATTCATTATTCATTTGAGCAAATACACAAGATACAACCAGATCAAAAATCTGCTACACATTATTCATTTCCCCACCCATCGTGACTGCCAAAGCACTTAGCAATTTTAGCCACTTAAGCTCAACTGTCTTGATGAGCAAACAAGATAAGACACACATATACTAATAAAAGAAAATATTTGATTTATATTTACCATGATGAGGATACATAAAGCATTTTTTATGGCAACAATATAATTATGTAACATCAAGGCTGTCATATGACATTTAAATAAATGCTTTGACACGAAAAGAAAACATTTTGAACTGTGAAGAATGGATCAGGTCAATCCCAAACACTCTAGTCGCATGTTCTAATTGGTGGCCACTGCCAGGGATTGTAAGCAGCAGTTGTGGTGATCTAGAAAAAGCTGACCCTACGACAACCCTAAAGCGAGATATGATCTTCTCACAGAGTTGAGATTTCTCCAGTAGCGATGACAGAAACAGAAGCTACTGAAGAAAATGTCGACTGGATGACAAAAATTACCGGAGAAACCCTCCAAGTAGGTTTTCTAAAGTGTCCATGTCAGTGGATAAGCTGATAATTTACCGAACATTTTTAAGATTCACAGTAAGTATAAAAGAAGATCTAATTTTTTACAACCAGAACAGACCTCTACCGGTGCCCACCATTCAATCGCGGAACCTAAAAGCAATCATCACCAAGAACCCTCGTCAAAACCTCCCCGAAATGGATGCTTGCGAAGAGGATTTAACAGACGCTTTGGTTCCTCTCAGTAGGAATTGAGGAGTAGAGGTTTGGGGTCGAATGGACCGGGTCGCTATTTCAAATTTTTACTTATTTTATTGAGGTCGGTAATTTCCATCCAAAATCACGAAAATTATGGGAGTTCAAGATTTAAAAATATTTTTTGGTGAATAATGATGAAATGTAATTATTTATTATCATAACTATTGCAACTATTAATTTTTTTTAATTATTATTGAATCAAACTTGAGATTAATTAGTATGGCTAAGAAAAGTTATATATATACATATATATATATACATATATATATACACACACATATATATATATATATACATACATATATATACATATATATATATATATATATATATATATATATACATACATATATATACATACATATATATATATATATACATACATATATATATATATATATATATATATATATATACATATATATATATATATATATATACATATATATATATATATATATATATATATATATATATATATATATATATATATATATATATATATATATATATATATATATATATATATATATATATATATATATATATATATATATATATATATATATATATATATATATTCTTTTATCT